AAGCTATAGGATACCTCAGTTCGGCTCCATGCAGCACACTGCTGATATAATATATTGGTTTCTGTTGCTTGGCTTCTTCTCTTACCAGAACCGAACTAATGACTTCATCTGAAATTCCCAGATATAGATAGAGGATTTCTCCATCTTTGGCTTTAGTCAGTAGAGGTGGTGAGCTAAGGTAAGACTTCAGCTTATCGAATGTGGCTTGGCATTCCTGAGTCCACTCAAACTTCTTCTATTTGCCCGATTCATCCTTCTGGGCAGCTGACCTCATAATCTTGAAAAATGGTAGGCACTTATCTGCTGACTTCGATATGAACCGATGAAGAGCTGCTACCCTTCCAGTCAACCTCTGTATGTCTTTTACTGACTTCGGCGGTTCCATCTCGGCAATTGCTCTGATCTTCTCTGGGTTGACCTCAATCCCCCTCCTGGAAACCATAAAACCCAAAAATTTTCCAGATTCCACACCAAAGATGCACTTGGCTGGGTTTAACCTCATTATATTCTGTCTGAGATTGTTGAATGTCTCCCCAAGATCGGTTAAGTGATCGTCCGCTTTCAAACTTTTCACCACTATATCGTCGACATATACTTCCAGATTCCATCCTATCTGAGCTCGGAACACGATGGTAACCATCTTCTGGTAAATGGCACCTGCATTCTTCAAACCGAAGGGCATCATTACATAGCAATATATCTCATCGCCAACATAGAACGAGGTTTTTTCTTCATCCTCAGGAGCCATTGGGACCTGGTGGTAGCCTGAGTATGCATCCAAGAGACTTAATCTCTCATTTCCCGAAGCTGCCTCAACCAGTTTATCAATGTTTGGCATTGGATAACAGTCCTTTGGACATGCATCGTTGAGGTTAGTGTAATCAATGCACATTCGCCATTTACTGTTTGCTTTTTTCACTAGCATCGGATTGGCGACCCACTCACAATAATCTACCCTTCTGACAAAGCCGGCTTGTAGGAGTTTCTCGACTTCTTCTTTAATAACCTTTAACCTCTCCCCCCCGAAGAGGCGTCGCTTCTAGGCTATTGGTTTCTTGAGGGGATTGGTGCTGAGTTTATGCTGAAAAACTGAAGTGGGAATTCCTGGCATATCTGCTGAAGTCCATGCAAAAACATCTTTATTGGCCCGAAGAAAAGCTATTAGCTCTGCTCTTTCCCCCGGGTTCAATTTAGTCCCAATTTGTGTTTTCCGGCTCGGATCTTTGTCATCAATCTGTACCTCTTCTACATCTTCAACTGGAGCAGCTCTGGTTTCATCTTCTGGTCGGTTATCTACTATCTCAACACCCATAACTTGCCGATCATCAAGAATCCGTTGGGATCAACCTCGGGTGTCTGAGTCTTGCCCTTCTGAGGTTGTGTTATCGAGGTGATATAGCAATGTCGGGCCACCTCCTGGTTGCCTCGCAGTGTTGCTATTCCCGTAGGAGTTGGGAACTTCATGCATAGATGAGATTGGGAAACCACAGCTCGAATTTCAGTCAGTGTGGGTCGACCAATGACGACATTGAATGAGGACGCCATCTTGACTACCAAAAACCTGACTGAAGGGGTCACATAACTCCGGCCACTTCCAAATGCAACATTCATTGTGAGGACTCCTTCAATTGGAACTGGTTGGTTGTTGAACCCGTAGATGGGACCATCATACCGCTGCAACAGAGCTGGATCTATCCCAAGACTCTCAAAACAATGGAAGTACATGATGTCTGGTGCATTCTCGGTGTCAACAAGGACGCGCTGCACTTCACAATTGTTGATCGTGACGGAAGTGACTAGAGGATCATTGTGAGGGGTGACAACTGTTTCGAGATCAGCAGATGTGAAAGTGATGGGTTGATTCTTCCACTCAGCATCGTCAAATTTTCGCTTCTGAGCTCGGTTCTGGTGCTTAACCTCTCTGACATACAGCTTTCGCTGCTTAGATCTCAGTCCACCGGCTTCCAGACCTTCCTTAATCATGTGTATTACTCTAGCTGGTGGTGGGAGTGGTGGTGGGGCCTGCTGATATCCCACACCTTGCCTGTTTGGGGGATTGCGGACTCCTTGATGCTGTGTCCCTTGTTCCCTAACAAATCGTGGCTGTTCAACTTTCTGGATGTACTCATTTAGCATTCCTTTTTGCGCCAGGCTTTCCAGTTCGGACCTCAAACTATTGCATTGCTCTGTTGTATGACCGTGATCTTGATGAAAATCACAATACCTTGTATAGTCTCTGGTAGCAGCGGCAGTTCTCATTGGACCCGGACGTCTTAAGTCCATCTTATTCTTAATCTGCATAAAGATTTGTGATCTTGGTAAATTAAAAGGAGTCCAATTAACTGGAGGTTTACCTGCAGGTTGTTGCGGAGGTGCTAAGTTCGGCCTTCCGAATCTCGGGGTCGACATCGGACCTCGGTTCTATGTTGTCTTCATCCGTTTCCTATTCAGATTCTCATCTCTCCAGTCCGGATGTTAGCTCTTAGTAGGAGTTAGGTTCTGCAACAGGGCATATTCCTCAACAGTTATGAATTTCAATGATCTATCATTTACCTCACTGAATGTGGTGGCAGGATGTTTAAGCAGACTATCTCTGAATCTTTCATGGCCGAGACCCGAGATCACAGCTGTAATTCCCACTGCTTGGTCGAAAGAGTTAACCTCTAGCACTGCATCATTGAATCTGCTCATAAAATTCTTCAAAGATTCTCCATCCCTCTGCTTAACTCGCATAAGTTCAGAAGTGGTTTTCCTGATCAATCTTCTACTGGAAAACTTTGTGGCAAAAGCAGATGCCAGTTCTGTGTAAGAGTTGATTGACCTCGGAGGCAGACTGTAGTACCAGGTTCGAGCATTACCTCGAAGAGTAGAGGGAAAGATTTTGCACATTAACGCGTCAGAGGCGTTCTGGGCCTGCATGCAACAGTAGAAAGCATGTAGATGATCATCGGGGTCCTTCGTCCCATCATAAGTTTCAAGTTGTGGTATTCTAAAGCCAGTGGGATAGGGTTCCAGTACAATATTGGTGTTGAGAGGGTGGGGTACGGAGTCAACAGCAGGGTATGGAGGTGGGGCACCTCGTTGTTCAACCACTAGCCTTTCTAAGCTATCTAGACGTCGAGTGACATCATCATGAGGAGGTTGCTGAACTGGTGCAATGTGAGATTGGCCTTGAGATTCACTAACAGCGGGAGCATGTTGAACTGGTTCAGGATTTTGTGGTGGGGCTGGGGGTTGTGGTGGGGCAGGATTAAGTAGATTGATGAGTGGATCACCAGGATTGTTCCGGGCTAACAACTGAGCCAGCACTTGCTGAAAGACACCAAACTGCTGTTGCATGGCAGCGAACTGAGTTGCAACTACGTCTTGGTTAGCAGTAGAGGCTGAGTTGCTAACCGAATTGTGTGGTTGATTTTCGTCTTCTCCTTCTGCATGATCAACAGGAGGGAATGTATTTGGGATTGGGGGTGAGGGATGAGGTGGAAGGTTGCTGGGGACCTGACCTCGTCCAAGAGGCTGAGACGAGTTTCCCCCTCGGGCTGACCTAGTTTTAACCATGATAAGAGCAACAAAGGAGCCTTTAGTTCAGTTTCCCACAGACGGCGCCAAAATGTAACTGCACCAAACCAGATGTCCTTCTTCAGTCCGTATCTGCACTCTGGATTAACCTGCAAGGCCCCGAGGTGGATCCTCGGGGTAGACACTCCGATGCTTAAGTCAGCAATAATCGGGGCTACCTTTAAAGCGTAGACACAAGGAGCTTAGGGTTGGTTTCAATTACCTTTTGGTGTGGCCCTTGAGGGGTATTTATATGTTCCGATGAAGAATCCACGCGTCATGCCAATCAAGATGTCAAGCAAGATATCCGGGATCCGATGTGTATCTCCAGGCAGTTATTTCGGGACCGGGAGATTGAGCCAAGCAAGATATTCGGGATTTGATATGTATCTCTAAGCAGTTATTTCGGGATTGGGAGATTGAGATATATTTAGATGCAAGGATGTCCATTGTAACAGCTGTGTGGCTGTTCGAGCGGGAAGCTTTGGACTTACCCTTACATCACCCATCAAATATAACTTTAAATTCATGTTAAACTTATATGTGAAGAGGTGTGTTAAATAGAAATTAAAATACTACATTGAGTTTATAACAAAAAAAAAAGTATATAAATTAAATATAAGGAAGTCAAAGTAGCTCACATGCATCATTTTCA